AATATAAACGAACACACCCCCCTCGAGCACGGCCGCAGTTATCATGCTGCGATAACTGCCTGAACCTTTAAACTCAACAACCAAACGACCAACAATGATCTCAACAAGCCCAGGACCATCAACGACCTCAACGACTCCAAAACCAACGACCACAACTCCTGAACCTTTAACGACCTCAACGACCCCGGAACCTTCGACGACCTCAGCGACTACGGAACGTTCAACGACCTCAACGACTCCAAAACCAACGACCACAACGACTCCGGAACCTTCGACGACTTCAACTCCGGAGCCTTCAACGACCTCAACAACTCCGGAGTCTTCAACGACCTCAACGACTCCGGAGCCTTCAACAACCTCAACGATTCCAAAACAAACGACCTCAACAACTCCGGAACCTTCAACGACCTCAACGACTCCAAAACCAACGACCACAACGACTCCGGAACCTTCGACGACCTCAGCAACTCCGGAGCCTTCAACGACCTCAACAACTCCGGAGTCTTCAACGACCTCAACGACTCCGGAACCTTCAACGACCTCAACAACTCCGGAGCCTTTGACGACCTCAACGACTCCGGAGCCTTCGACGACCTCAACCCCTGGAATAGTGACCAAACATACTCTTGGGCGGATGAGAATGACACCTGTGTAAGACTCGGAAAAGCTCTACACGCCCAAGAGTGGTGATGAAGCGATGGACCTCTCTATCCAACACGGAACTATCTGGACAGGTAAGGAGTTTAGATAATAATAACCGCCATAAATGAAATATAAATGAAATGAATAAATGAATCAGTTTAATCGTTCCAGACTTTTTTTTTCCAGATTTTTATTTGGTGAGAACGAGTGGTGGTGATTATATCAGGGATTAACTCTATCTGGTGATATGGAAGATGCACTTTTAGAAACGGATTGTGCTATTTGGTTTCGATGTTTGAAATTTGCATTGCTGTGTAGGGGAGGTTCTGAAAATAATACGTTATTGGATAGTAGCAGATGTATGGCAATGTGAATTGCTAGATTGAAGTACTTCGGCTACAAAATCTGAAAGTCTGTGATCTAAATCTTATGATACTAGTATCATACGATGAAATATACATGAGCGTTCGTCTGCCTGAGAGAGAGAGGAAAGGAGAGAAAGAGAGTGAGGAAAGGAGGGAGAGGGAGAGAGAGAGATAGATAGAGAGAGCGATGGTGGTATAGTGGTGAGCATAGCTGCCTTCCAAGCAGTTGACCCGGGTTCAATTCCCGGCCATCGCAGTGGTGCCATTTTTATCATTCACTATCAGTACTATAGACCTTAATTAAAAGTTTAAAGTCACCTTCATCGTTTCACTACCAGTGGAAATTTGCAATACACAAATACGAAACAAAACACAACTTTATAATGCAAGTCACCTCAAGCAGAAAAAACGCATTTTATCGATTTGTAATCTTTCACATGAACATGCGATTTCCTATTCATATACTGTGTGTGCATACTGACCACCGATTCCTCCCTTTCCTTTCCATGCCAGAGCTAACAGACTTCAACGAGGACGGAATCTGGACAGACTTCGACGGGAAGCCTTCGTACCCGAATTTCTGGTGTTCGGGTGAGCCTGACCCGGCAACGGACCTGTGCGCCTACATCAGGTCGACGGGCTGCCTGGCCAACCGGCCTTGCTACATCTCCACCACGACCCTGTGCGTCAGCCTGTAGTGGGCTGGGCTTTATGATATAAGTATATATGTATATGTATATATATAAGTATATATGTTTATACATATGGATATGTATATACATATATACATATACATGCATACACACACACAAATATATACATATATATATGATTTATTTATTTATTTGCTTACTTATTTATATGTAAGTATATATGTGATATATTTATAAGTATATATATATGCTTATATATATGGATATATATGTATATATATATTCATATATATGTGTGTGTATATATGTATGTACATATATATCCATATATATATATACGTACATGTATACATATATATACATGTATACACATGCCTATACCCACACACACACATATATATATATATATATTTACATGAATATATAATATATAAATATGGTGTGTGTGTGTGTGCATATATGTACACATATTTATATTTATTTATTTGTATATATATGAATATATATATGTTTATATATATGGATATAAATGTATATTTATATATATACATATACATATATACACATATATATGCATATACACACACACACAAATATATGCATATATATATATATAATTTATTTATTTATGTACTTATTTATTCATATATAAGTATATAGATGTGATATATTTATAAGTATATATATATCCGTATATATACTTATATATATGGATATACATATGTATATATATATGTGTATGTATGTATGCATATATATCTATATATATATACGTACATGCATACATATATATACATATATACACATACCTATACCCACACACACACGTTTATATGTATATATATATGTGTGTGTGTGTGTATGTACATGTATATGATTATATATATGTATATGTATAAATAATTATATACATACATATATACGTATATATATGTGTGTGTGTGTTTGTGTGTCTGTGTGTATTTTTTCGACATTTAATGTTTATTTCTGTTAACTTTACTTGAGGCCTGTGTAACACACAAATTAAGTGTCCTGTATTGCAAATTTTGAATTTGCAAAGGCATGGTCAAGTTAGTCAATAAATGTATAATTTTCACTGTACAATCTGTTTTTTATACGCTAAATCTAAATCATGATAATTTTGACCGATAACGACAATTACTATTCTATCATCATAATAAACAATAAAGATGCCTCAAACACCATGATTAAGGAACACTTCCAAACGGAATATTTGCATTTTATCATGAACTGCATCCAAAGTTAGAAATGGACATTCGAATTCAGTGCCACAAGCTGGTCCATTTATTCTTTTGGCACTTAAACTTGTTATGTGATTAAGAGCAGAAAGAGTATTTACAATAACTTGCACTGATGATAGACAGGCCTTTCAATAAACTGTATAAATACATATGTATTATTATATATTTTTAAAATACATTTTTGGAGGCCAGCATAACATTACAATATCAGAGAGAGAGAGAGAGCTTGAGGGAGAGAGAGAGAGCGTGAGAGAGAGAGAGAGTGAGAGAGAGTGAGCGTGAGAGAGAGCGTGAGATAGAGAGAGAGAGAGATAGCGTGAGAGATAGAGAGGGAAAGAGAGAGAGAAAGAGAGAGAGACAGAGACAGAAAAGGAGAGAGAGTGAGAGAGAGTGTGAGCGTGAGAGAGAAAGAGAGTTAAAAGTTATAAAATTGCGATGGCCGGGAATCGAAACTGCTTGGAAGGCAGCTATGCTCACCACTATACCACCATCGCTTCACGTCAATGATAAATATAAACGAGCACATTTGGAGATATGTTATTTCTTCCGCCTGTCTGTCAGAGAGAGCGAGAGAGAGAGAGAGAGAGAGAGAGAGAGAGAGAGAGAGAAGGAGAGAGAGAGAGAAAGACAGAGAGGGAGAGAGAGAGGGGGAGAGGGACAGAGAGAGCTTGAGAGAGACAGAGGGAGAGAAAGAGAGAGAGAACATAGAAAGAAAAAGAGTGTATGTGTGTGAGAGAGAGCGAGAAATAAAACAGAGAGAGAGAGAAAGAGGTAGAGAGATAGGGAGGTAGAAGGCGAAAGAGAGAGAGAGAGAGCGAGAGGGAGAGAGAGAGAGAGAGTGATTGTGTGAGAGAGAGAGGGAGAGAGAGAGAAAAGAGAAAGAAAAAGAGAGTGTGTGAGAGAGAGAAAGAGGTAGAGAGATAGGGAGGGAGAGGACGAAAGAGAGAGAGAGAGAAAGAATAATAACTTCAACAAAACCAAGGAAAGAAACAAAACTTATTCGTGACACCTATACGCTCGGGGGACGCGCGTAGGGGAGGGGGACGCCAGCCCTCGCCACCCCCTTCGAGCACGTCGCCAGTTATCATGCTGCGAGGGAAGAGAGAGGAGGCTCTGCCAAGGAGGTCGTGGTGGGCGGAGGCGGTCGTAGTGCTGGTCGTGGGGGTCGTGCCCTTCGCTGCATGTGGAAGTGGCAGCTGCTACCGCCGAGTGACACCTCTTGAAGTCGCGGCTTCTATGTTTGTCACAGCTGCGGTCTCGTCGAGAATTACGTTAGTTTCCCGAAAGCTGACATCTCTACCCCCCCCCCTCTCTCTCTATGTATATATTCATATAGATATGTATGTATATGCATATATATATATCAGCACATATACATATATGTATGTACACGCACACATACATAGATATCTATATACATATACATATATACATATATATACAAATATATATGTATACGTACACACATACACACACACATACATATATATATCATTTGCACACACATATATATACATACATATATGTACACAGAGACACACACGCACACATACACATATATATATTTGTGCTACTCTTTGTAACAAAGCCTGTGATTAGCACATGATAATTTCTCTTTATCATTTCCAGTCTATAGTCATTCTTATAACTGCAATTTACCCCCCCCCCTATTCTCAATTCCTTCTTTCTAATTTTTATTTTTCTCTCTCACATAGATGTATCTCTGCGTGCAGAATGAGGGGATGTGAGGTTGCAGGTTGGCAAGAAGTTGACATGCTCTGCTACCTGAAGGATGACAGCCCTATGGCAGAAGCATTGAATGAACCCCTTAACAACATAGACTTTTATTACCCCATGGAACTTCTAGATGGAATGCCCACGACCCCTGCTGTATCAACCTCTTTGTCTCCAAGTGTATCTAGCACCACTTTGGTATCTGCAACTGCAACAACAATTCAAGAACCCACAACAACTCTGCCAACTTTCATATCCACAAGCCCTGAATCTTTAAACTCAACAACCAAACGACCAACAATGACCTCAACAACTCAACGACTCTTGAACCTTCAACGACCTCAATGACATCGGAACCTTCAACGACCTCAACGACTCCGGAACCTTCAACGACCTCAATGACTTCGGAACCTTCAACGACTCCGGAACCTTCAACGACCTCAACGACTCCGGAACTTTCAACGACCTCAATGACTTCGGAACCTTCAACGACTCCGGAACCTTCAACGACCTCAGCGACTCCGGGGCCTTCAACGACCTCAACCCCTGGAATAGTGACCAAACATGCCATGTACTCTTGGGCGGATGCGAATGACACCTGTGTAAGACTCGGAGGAAAGCTCTACACGCCCAAGAGCGGTGAAGAAGCGATGGACCTCTCTATCCAACACGGAACTATCTGGACGGGTAAGGACTTTAGAAAACAATAACCATCATATATAAATTAATCAATCTAATCTTTCCAGACTTATTTTCATCTGGTGAGAACGAGTAAATGGTGGTGATTGTATCAGTGTTTGGTGATATGGAAGATGCACTTTTAGAAACCGATTGTGGATTTGTCCTTTATTCATGTTTCTTTAAATTTACATTGCTGTGTAGGGGAGGTTCTGAAAATAATACGTTAATGTATGGGTATGTGAATTGCTCTACTGAAGTACTTCGATTACATAATCTCAAAGTCTTTTATTTAAATCATATGATACTAGTATCATATGATGAAGTATGCATGAACATCCATCTGCCTGAGAGAGAGAGAGAAGAAAGGAGAGAGAGAAAGGGAGTGAGGAAAGGGGGGAGAGAGGGGGATAGAGGGAGAGAGATAGGTAGATAGAGATTGAAATTTCAACACATTCTCATTATTTGAGGAGCGATGGTGGTATAGTGGTGAGCATAGCTGCCTTCCAAGCAGTTGACCCGGGTTCGATTCCCGGCCATCGCAGTGGCGCCATTTTTTATCATTCACTATCAATACTATAGACCTTAATTAAAAGCATAGTCACCTTCATCGTTTCACTACCGGTGGAAATTTGCAATACACAAATGCGAAACAAAATACAACTTTACAATGCAAGTCACCTCAAGCAGAGAAAACACATTTTATCGATTTCTAATGTTTCACATGAACATGCGATTTCCTATTCATATACTGTGTGTGCATACTGACCACCGATTCCTCCCTTTCCTTTCCATGCCAGAGCTAACAGACTTCAACGAGGACGGAATCTGGACAGACTTCGACGGGAAGCCTTCGTACCCGAATTTCTGGTGTTCGGGTGAGCCTGACTCGGCAACGGACCTCTGCGCCTACATCAGGTCGACAGGCTGCCTGGCCAACCGGCCTTGCTACATCACCACGACCCTGTGCGTCAGCCTGTAGTGGGCTCTCTCTCTTACTCTCACTCTCTCTCCCTCTCTCTTACTCATTCACACAGACAGACACACCTACATGTAAAATTATGTATATCTTGAAACATTAATTGATTGTGAAGCGATGGTGGTATAGTGGTGAGCATAGCTGCCTTCCAAGCAGTTGACCCGGGTTCGATTCCCGGCCATCGCAGTGGCGCCATTTTTTATCATTCATTATCACTACTATAGACCTTAATTAAAAGCATAGTCACCTTCATCGTTTCACTACCAGTGGAAATTTGCAATACACAAATGCGAAATAAAACACAACTTTATAATGCAATTCACATTTTATCTTTTCTGAACATGCGATTTCCTATTCATATACTGTGTGTGCATACTGACCACCGATTCCTCCCTTTCCTTTCCATGCCAGACTTAACAGACTTCAACGAGGACGGAATCTGGACAGACTTCGACGGGAAGCCTTCGTACCCGAATTTCTGGTGTTCGGGTGAGCCTGACTCGGCAACGGACCTCTGCGCCTACATCAGGTCGACAGGCTGTCTGGCCAACCGCCCTTGCTACATCTCTACCACGACCCTGTGCGTCAGCCTGTAGTGGGCTGGGCTCTATAATGTGCAAATGAATATGTACAGTATGTGTAGGTTGTACATATATGTATGTTCACACACACATACATACATATATATATATATATTTACACACACACACATATATATATATTTACACAAACACACACACATATATATATATATATTTACATAAATATATATGTGTGTATGCACATATATGCACACATATTTTTATTTATTTGTATATATAAGTATATATATATATGTTTATATGTATGGATATGTATGTATATATATACATATATACATATACATACATATACACACACAAATATATACATATATATATATATATATACATAATTTATATATTTATATATAAGTATATATATGTGATATATTTATAAGTATATATATCCGTGCTATATTTATAAGTATATATATTTGCTTATATATATGGATATATATGTATATATATATTTATATATATGTGTATGTATGTATGTATATATATATCATATATATATACGTACATGTATACATATATATACATATATACACATACCTATACCCACACACACACACATATATATATTTACATAAATATATATATGTGTGTGTGTAGATATATGTACACATATTGATATTCATTTATTCATTTGTATATATATAAGTATATATATGTTTATATATATGTGTATGTATTTGTATACATATACATATACATACATACACACACAAATATATACATATATAAATATGATTTATTTATTTATCTACTTATCTATTTATGCATGAATATATATATGATATATTTATATATATCCGTGCTATATTTATAAATATATATATATGCTTATATATATGGATATATATATGTGCGTGTGTATGTATGTATGTATATACATATCCATATATATATATATATATATATATATATATATATATATATATATACGTACATGTATACATTTATATACATATGTACACATACCTATACCCACACACACACATATATATGTATATATATATGTGTGTGTGTATGTACATGTATATGATTATATATATGTATATGTATAAATGATTATATGCATACATATATACGTATATATATGCGTGTGTGTGTTTGTGTCTGTATGTATTTTTTCGACATTTAGTGTTTATTTCTGTTAACTTTACTCGAGGCCTGTGTAATACACAAATTAAATTTCCTGTATTGCAAATTTTGAATTTGTAAAGGTATGGTCAAGTTATTCAATAAATGTATACTTTTCACTGTACAATCGGTGTTCTTTTTACGCTAAATCTGAATCATGATAATTTTGACCGATAACGATAATTACTATTCTATCACCATCATTAACAATAAAGATACCTCAAACACCATGATTAAGAAACACTTCCAAACAGCACATTTGCGTTACATCATGAACTTCTCCGAAAGTTAGAAATGTACATCCGAATTCAGTGCCACAAGCTGGTCCATTTATTCTTTTGGCACTTAAACTTGTTATGTGATTAAGAGTAGAAAGAGTATTTACAATAACTTGCACTAATGATAGACAGGCCTTTCAATAAACTATACTACACATTGGATTATAAACACAACTGAAGAAGATATAGTGAATTTACTCTTAAGTGAGTAAATAAAAGAAAACTAATACGAAAAATCACTCCCTATCAAATTGATCTGGCGACATTTGATATATATATTTACATGCATATACACATAAGTACGTATGTATACACACATATGCATTTTTTTTTTTTTTGATGGGCCGGCATAACATTGCAATATCAGAGAGAGAGAGAGAGAAAGAGAGAGAGAAAGATAGAGAAGGGGAAAAAGAGTGAGCGAGAGATAGAGATAGAGAGAGAGGAGAGAGAGAGAGCGTGAGAGAGAGAGGAGAGAGAGTGAGCGTGAGAGAGAGAGAGAGGAGAGAGAGAGAGTGAGCGTGAGAGAGAGAGAGAGAGAGGAGAAAGAGAGAGTGAGCGTGAGAGAGAGAGAGAAGGAGAGAGAGAGAGTGAGCGTGAGAGAGAGTTATAAGTTATAAAATTGCGATGGCCGGGAATCGAACCCGGGTCAACTGCTTGGAAGGCAGCTATGCTCACCACTATACCACCATCGCTTCACGTCAATGATAAATATAAACGAGCACACCCCCCTCGAGCACGGCCGCAGTTATCATGCTGCGATAACTGCCTGAACCTTTAAACTCAACAACCAAACGACCAACAATGATCTCAACAAGCCCAGGACCATCAACGACCTCAACGACTCCGGAGCCTTCAACGACCTCAACGACTCCAAAACCAACGACCACAACTCCTGAACCTTTAACGACCTCAACGACCCCGGAACCTTCGACGACCTCAGCGACTACGGAACGTTCAACGACCTCAACGACTCCAAAACCAACGACCACAACGACTCCGGAACCTTCGACGACTTCAACTCCGGAGCCTTCAACGACCTCAACAACTCCGGAGTCTTCAACGACCTCAACGACTCCGGAGCCTTCAACAACCTCAACGATTCCAAAACAAACGACCTCAACAACTCCGGAACCTTCAACGACCTCAACGACTCCAAAACCAACGACCACAACGACTCCGGAACCTTCGACGACCTCAGCAACTCCGGAGCCTTCAACGACCTCAACAACTCCGGAGTCTTCAACGACCTCAACGACTCCGGAACCTTCAACAACCTCAACAACTCCGGAGCCTTTGACGACCTCAACACGACTCCGGAGCCTTCGACGACCTCAACCCCTGGAATAGTGACCAAACATACTCTTGGGCGGATGAGAATGACACCTGTGTAAGACTCGGAAAAGCTCTACACGCCCAAGAGTGGTGATGAAGCGATGGACCTCTCTATCCAACACGGAACTATCTGGACAGGTAAGGAGTTTAGATAATAATAACCGCCATAAATGAAATATAAATGAAATGAATAAATGAATCAGTTTAATCGTTCCAGACTTTTTTTTTCCAGATTTTTATTTGGTGAGAACGAGTGGTGGTGATTATATCAGGGTTTAACTCTATCTGGTGATATGGAAGATTTTTAAAACTTTTAAAAGACTTTTAAAAACGGATTGTGATATTTG